TGACAACGTATGATTGCTTTATTGTAACATCAAGACTACTTGTCCTTGTGATAAGTTGGACTACCACAAGTTTGGACCTTTTTTTATTTGTAGACAAATCAATCCAATTGCTTATCGATTACATCTATTGGAAGCAATGAAGATCCAAGATATCTTCCACATGTCTCTTCTTGAACCATATAAGACTATAAACATACCAAGAAGAAGACAAACTCCACCTCTTCTTATAAAAGTGGACAATAATGAAGAATTCGAAGTAGAAGAAATTCTAAACTCAAGGCGATGCCAAAATAAATTATAATATTTTATTCATTAGCATGTATATGATATTAATAAATACATATAGGAGCTAGTAAAGAATCTTGCAAGTATACCAAAGGTGATGGAGGCTTTTTATTGATGAAACCCATTTAAATGAAGATAAAGAATAGTAGATCTTTTGCTATAAAAGAAACAAGGTCTAACAAAGTTTGTATTCTACTTTCTATTTTTTTTATATCTTCTGTATATTTGTGACGCTAAGGAGATGGAGAACTAACAACCAAGACATTCAACTCAAGAGCTTTTATTTGCAAACTTACCAGATGAGATATTGTAATTATTACAACCTTTAAGATGACAAAATCGAGATGAAGATCCTTAAGAACATGTCCTTCCTCGAATAGATGGCAAGATACAACATGTTTGATATCATGACTTTGGAAGAGACTTCCAATGTTTGGTGATTTTATTAGAGGTAAGAACAACTCCTAACGAAGTTTCAAATATTTTATTTGAAGGAAGTTACAAAGGCCTCATTAATGACCAAATAATAGGGTGGTCTTCTTGCCCTAGTATGGGACACTATCGATGGCTGAGAGGACCTATCAACTATCTTCAAAGAAAACAAAGATCAGAGTATGTAGCAAATATAATTTACCGCATCTTGGATTTCCTCAACATATGAAGACTTCTCCTTGTAGAACTCTTTCCTAGAAGGAGAAGTAATATCATGGACATACACATGTAAATCAATAATTACCTATATGATTTAGATAAAAGTAGGTAAAAGTATATTAATTCTATAATATCTTCTATAAAAGCTTTTTAGAAGCTTTATAGATGCTACTTTGATTTTTTAGGTTAAAAACATGGTCAATAAGTTGGCCATATGCCACACATATTGGTAGCTTGAAGAACAAGCTAACTATGTGGTCCACATGTAGAAAACTTGTCTTCTAAGCTAAAGCATGTGTTGTGCAAAGTCAACACATATTAGAAGTCTTATAGAACATCACCATGTAGCTCCTAGTTAGATAATATATATAAAGGTAAGAGTGAAGTCTTTTTCACTCTTGTCAATTCTTTTCTTGCTTCTAGTTTAGATTTAAGAGTCTCTAGTTTTCTTGTCTTTTGGCAATAGCTATTCTAGTTTCCTTTTAATATACATACTATTTTATTGCTATTTTGTCATTTTTCTTTTAACATAGATTTTTCAAGTTTATGCATCTTCTTCCAATTCATATCGTTGGCTTAAGTTGAAGGAGGTAAAGCATTGATCTCCTACTATTGAAGCTCCTTATTAATATCTTCTGTAAATGGTTGCTTCAAGTCTAAAGGTGAAGAAGAGCAAAGATTGACAAAAACTTTGCCAATAGTCACATCTAATAACTCTTTGGATAAATATGTCTCTATCAATTTGCTACATATAACAATATTAGTAGCTCGTTCTATTTCACTATTATATGATTGCTTATATATATATATATATATATATATATATATATATGTCATTGCCATAGTAGTAGCTTTTATTAAGAAATCTTGATACTACAATTAATAAATCTCCATGTGTGGTTGTTATAAAAACTTGCTATATAAAATGCAATAGTAAGTACAAGCTGAGAAAGTATTGCGAGATATTGATAGTATGACCTATTAGTAGTGTACTAATAAAATGGGATTACCATAGCATGTTGTTGTCACATATGTATATTTAAATGATCTATTATAGATAATGGATGATGGAGCATTTGAAGATGCAATTGCATTACCATAGCCATGGAACACCGAGGTTGTATGCATAGTGAATAGGATTACTTGTAGAGCCTAATATTTATGATATTAAGGGTTTATAGCTTATTCTTATTGGTTGTGTTGAGTTGAAGAGTGACAACAATCACTATTATTTTTCAAATTAAACATCTTATGTTTCACCTCAAATAAAGGAGTTAATCTTAGGTGTTGTTGTATTGGTAAAAAAAAAAAATCTAAGATTATAGTAAACACTTTTATAAGAAAAAGAAAATAGGCCTAATTTTTAGGCAACAATCAAATAACAAGAAGCAGCATTGGAACAACATAAACAATTAAATTAATAAAGTTAGTAGATTTTCTTTATGAAAATATTACATCTTTGACAGAGACATTAATTTTTAAATCTATGTTAGTTTTCTAAAAGGTACTAAAACAAAATATCAAAATCATAGTGTCCAACTTTACAAGTAAAGTACAAATTGTAGCATATGTACTTAACCATTGTAGCTAAATTATTATTATCATAGGTTCTAGAAGTTGTAGAAAAGATGATGTAAGATACTTATGGAAATTACACAAAAATGAGAAAAAAAAATTAAGTAGTATAAAGAAGCACACATTGGCCTAATACACATTGTGTATATATATATATATATATATATGGTTTACATTGAATACAATTTTCTTACTAAAAATAGAGTGCATAATTTAATTACATAAAAATTCCACCTAATTCACAATAAGCTATTACAAAAATGCATTTATGTATGAAAGTTCTTAAAGTTCTTGATATTTGTATTCAAAATTTGAAAGTAAGACTGTCACAAATAAAATTTTGATCCCAAGTAACATTTTTTTTTTTTTTTTTTTTTTTTTTCTGTCTGAGTGCCAGTTTCAACATTGAATACATGAAATATAAAGCAAATAGGCTCATGTTTGAAATTCAATGGGAACATTATGTGGCACATAGCTTTGGATACAATGCTTAATAACAAATTTTATTCTTTTATAAATATTTTTTTTTAATAAATTTGTATGTTTTCCAGATTTGCCATACACTGATGACTTGTTTTTGAAATTATATTACAACCATAATGGCTCACACATGTGTTCTGAAAGATAAGGGATATTCAAAGGAGCCATTTGTGCCATAAAAGTTGATTAGAGAGGAACACATTATCACAAGATCACCTTGATTAATAATTTCTATGATTCTTTTAAAATATATTGTTGGTTTTGAGAATGTCTTTTGGAGATTTGACCATCTTCAATTTTTACAACTTGACTTCTATTTATTTTTTAATTGCACACTTCCATATTTTTTTAAAAAATTGTACATATGTTTTACTTTAGTATGAAAATCATGATGTTGGTCTTATTCAATTTATATACTTTTGTGCACATATGCTTGTCTTGGGTTGCAAGAGATGAAGTTATGTACAGAATATGAGTTTGACATATATGTCATTTTTATGATATTGTTAATTTTCTTTGCTGTTATAGTTTTCAAAAGTTGAAAGCATATGAATTTTTAAAATTAATTCTAGATTTGTGAAATATGCAACAACTTTTTAAGTACATCATATGTAAAAAGAACTTATAAAAAAACACAATTATAGAGTGTATAATGTTTTGTACTGGTAAGGTGGAAATTAACATGGTTAAAATTCTCAAAATTAAATTGCAACAAATTAGTTTTAAAGATCACCATTAATGTAAGCAGGTATTTTAATGTGAATGAGGCCATAAACAGGATTGAATCAATTTCAAATATCTTAACAAAATTAGCAGTAGATTTTAAGTTGATGAAATAGTATCGTTTATCATGTGTTGAATATGTAACAACTTGGCTTTTTTAAGAATCCAAACACATTGTAATGTAAATGACAAAGTTATAACATACAAATTTACAAATTTTAGCATTAAAAAAAAACACACTCTCATATATATATATATATATATATATATATATACACACACATACACAAAGGTTGAACTAGTGCCATTAAATACAGTAGTAAAATTAGATCATTTAAAGAAAAGTACTATTAAGTATTTTCTTAACTTTTATTTTAAGCAACTTGAAACAAATATATCAACGTGGACTGTGTGCAAATTTAAATTTACTAATTATACTATGGTAACGGATTTTGTATTGTATTACTCAAGTAGAGGCTGAGTAGCAGTAGAAAGTTTATAATTGTCTCATACAACACTCTATGACTTCCAGATCGCTTTGTAGAAGTGATAAAGAACGCTTTCTAACGTTTCTACACAGAATGCGTTAGGATCGCCGCATTTAATGTCGCTGCAAATAGAAGCAACCAGATCATACTTCCAGATCGCTGTTACTTCCAAATTCAGGCACATGTTTAGGTTGGGTACTCTCACAGGAACGGAAAGTCGCGATTAGAAACTGTTCATATTGCGCAACATTAGCAATCTAGAATGTGGTGTCACACAAAGAAAGTTTGGTGGGCTATGATCAGGTCGGTATGTACGACTCCAACGATGGAGTTTCTTCTACAACACATGAAACGACAGAATTGCTATAGAGAAAACTCCTAACCATATCCACACCATTTTGAGGCTACTTGACTCGTCCATTAAAACGTCCTAATCTGAACTGCACAACAATTAGGAGGAGCAGTAAACCAAAAAAATGAGAGACTTACGTCTTGGTGTTTCAACTATAATTCAGTTTAAAATTTAGGTGCAGCTTTCTTGAGAGAAGCAACCCTACCACCGATTGAAAGATATAATAGATATCGCACGATTAGATACGTCGTTCAACAAATGATGGACAAACTAGAAAATCGCAACAGATCCGACCCCTGAAGATTCAGAGTCTCTTAGATCGAAATGAAACAAAACAGGTGAGGCGGTAGCGAGGCTGACTGCTGAAGGAGGAGCAGTGGTATCCAATAAATCCATCAGCAAACAAAAACACCGACACGTACAGTAACGTGGTAAAATAATGTGCGTAGTTCAAATGTTCAATACACACAGTGCTTTAATTAGTTATTCATCCAACATACCGTGGAAAGAAAAGAGAGAAAGAGTTAAAAATAAAAAAACATCTATCGAAATCGCCACCAAATGCACATGAATTCCAGTCTGATCCAAAAAAATCGAAATCACGCCACAGCTGCTGCAACAACGTCACTGTCCATAGGTTCCACAAAACGAATAGTCTCCATGTTCACGCCCATAACATTTACCAGAAATCTACATTTACGACTTCCCATGCCAAGTGATTTAAGGTGCAGATTGTATTGAACCAATTTGATTCTAACCCAGCCACCAGCCACCTGCATTCAAGACTAAGTCGCAGCTTTTTAAGAGAGTACCAGAACACCAGCTAGGAATCAAGGCGGAATTGAAGACATAAACGAAATTAAACGAATGTTACTTTCCATAGAACTTGCATTCGTGCGCTGCTCCATCCACGTTGCGCGTGACCGTCTTTAGAAGCATGCATCAAGCAAACAACAACAGCACAAAGCTGCAAGACTGCACACAGCATCACAGGATTTAATCAGCGCTCGCCAACCACAGAATCACCAAAACATGAATAATGACCTACTCAGTGTGACAACGCTTTCTCCAGCCCACACGTGAACAGTTGCTGACAGTCCCCTCATTCATTACAGTACATGCGTGATGCACTAATAGTCCATGCCGTGTATCTCGCTGTTGGTGACGACACTAAAACTCGAAATAGACAAATTACAAATTAGACCTAAAATTAGGGGAGAAGTTGGCTGCAAAAAAAAACTTACAATGCTTCACAGAATGATGGACTCTTATTCTGTTGCTGCTGAGGATACCCTTGTTGCGGATACCCTTGTTGAGGGTATCCTTGAGGTGGGTAGCTACCCTGCTGAGGGTATCCTTGCGGTGGGTAACCCTGAGGTGGATAACCCTGAGGCGGATAACCTTGAGGAGCTGCACCATCATCCCAAAATCACCGCTCCATCAAACCAAATCGAAAGCAGTTCACATGCATACCAAAATAAACAGACGATGGATGAACAAATCCCAAATCTAAAAGCACAGCTACTGTTGTTATAAGTCTAAATCTAAGGCCCAAATCACCACCCAGAGAGAGTTCCTACGATGTGGCTGGACATCAATATCCATCAAGTGTCGTTTTTTTTGCTAAAAAGGCAGGCGTGGGTAGGGCTCTCCAAAACACCCGAAATCAAATATTCTCCTAGAGGAGATCTTTTGCCGTTAAACTTTTTAAGTGGAAACTGTCAAATCCAGGTCTGCATGCGGGGAGGGAAAAGTCCTTCGCACTCTTTGTTGTTTGATATTGCACTTCTATTCGAAACCACAATGCTTGTTTGCACAGCAAGAAGCAAAGAGCATGGTGGTAAAACCGTACCGAATTGCGGAGGAGGTGCTCCCACAGGTGGACCCTGATTGTAATAACTCATCTTTCACGAAATTCTGCACCCGAACAAACCACACATCAGACAAAGGAACACACTCTATAATCTAACATAACGCTCAAGAACACGCGCACACACAACCCGATGCAACATGAAATGCAGCCCCGTGACAAAGACAAGCTCTCATGCAGTAGCCAAGACACCAACCATACCCACAACCCCAAGCAAAAATTCCCACGCTCAGTAACCTCCACCCGGAATTAAAACCCAACAAAAACTTTAATCATGCACACACTGAATCGCATGCAACAACCTTAGAATCACCCTTCTCTCCTCGCACGATCTTGGGCGAAAAGGAGACAGTACACGTACGAAAGACTAACACAACACCCCACCAAACCCAAACAAACGAAAGATCCAGACAAAATCCAACCCTGTCCATCACAGACCCCACCTCAACAAAGGATACGCACCTGATCAAAATTAGCGTAATCTAAACCTCACCCAACCACCCACCCGATCTGGGGAATGGATGCAGGCGGTTTGACAAACTCGGGATCTTCACACACACACACACACACAGCAACAACTGCAGCACCGCAAAGAGCTTGAGAAAGGACAGAAATAATCAGAGCGAGAGCGCAAACTGAATGGGTCCTCATCCACGCCATGACATTCCAGCCATGGGTTGCCAGCGTCGGTCTCAGGTCCCCGATCTCGACCCCCCCAAGATTGGCTAGATCCGGCCGCTGCCGGCGCTAAGCCAATCGGGTGCCGGGAATGAGGTGCTAATTCCGGGAAGGCCAATCTCACTGGGGGGTGGGAAGCAGCACGGTGGATTGGGTGTGAATAGGACCCATCGATTGCCTGGATGCTTGCAGGGGGAAGTTACCCACCCGGCCCTTAATTTAGACCCCGGGTCCCGCGACGTGGTTGTCGGCGATAGATACGCTTCCGTTGAAGAAGCGACAGCGGGGCATAATGAAGAAGGGGCCCGCGTCGGGACCCCCGTATTTTAACTATTTATGGAGTCCCGGGGTAGCTGCGGGAATATTGTTTTGTTCCCTTCCCCTTCATCGTGATGACCGTCTTTTTGCTTTCTCTTTACTTTTAATTTTACTTTTTTGGGTTGGTGCCCGTAACCCGTGTGGAGATGTGTTTTGGATGTTGTCTTGTGGGAATGTTTGGTGTTGTTTTTTTTGGGGGGGGGGGACTCGTGGGACCAAAAATCAAAATGGGTTTGGGAAAAATGACTAGGTTGGTGAAATACCTCATTGATTATTGTAGTCCTTATTCTATTTATAAAATAAGATAAAAACCTCAGTGTGGCATCCCAGTTCGTCAAAGTTTATGAACTGGATCAAACTACCCCCTCGGAGAGAATCTTTCCCACTTTGTTTTTCCTGTTTTGTTTGATTCACACAGCTTTATGATGAGTATGGCTAAATTTGTGTTCCTAGAAGGCATTGTTATATGATGCTATTAAGATTGAGCCCAGGCGATTGCAGTGTAGGTGGAACTTGGGCGAGGCTGAGAAGAATGGCCTTTAAACAGAAGCCATTGCAGACACACCAGTGTGACTTGATCCACCTATTTTTTGATGTCAAGGAAGTAATTTGTTTTTTAATTTGTTACTCTGTGAAAGTAGATTATAGTGATCAATGATTACAGTTTTTTGGGATTTAATCTATTCTAATTTTAATGTGAAAATCATGATATAAGAGTTTTATTAAAAAAATAAAGTAATAAAGAATAAAGAAAAAGAAAAAACACAAGATGGTAGTTCAAAACAAGATATGCTCTAATGTATTTAGCACTTCTTATTTTATAATGTCTTCTTGTTAAAAACCTCAATGGAAATATTTTAAAATTTATGATTTATATGTAAAATTTTTACTCAAAGAGTGTTGATAAGCTTGTGAAGATTTGCAATAGTTGCAAATTTGGTTTTACTTCTGCCAATTGAAGCAACTATATTTTTTCTTCTATTTTTATAAATAAAAACTTTAATAAATCTACAAATAAAATTAGAAGAGAGTAATCCACAACTTCTATTATCAAATATGTATATATATATATATTTGTAAAAAATGATAGTTTTCTATCTTTAAAAAAAATCAATGTAAAAAAAAAATGTTAGTTTAAAAGTAAATAGTCCACAATCTCTAAAACATAAAAAAAAAAAATTGATAATTTACTTACTTTTAAAATAAAACAAAAATAATAAATTAACACTCTTGTCAAGCTGCCAAATTATCAAGGATATGAATTACAAAGAACTAAAGTGTCAATACACTCTTGAGTCACTTGAAAAGAATAGATAATTATTAAAATATGATATAATATTTAAATTAGGATAGCTATTGCTAAAGACAAGAAGACTAAAGAATCTTGAAATAAGACTAAGAAAAACAAAATGTATTAATAAGGATAAGAAAGTCTTTACTCCTACCTCTATATATACTATCAAACTAAAAATTACATGGCAATGTTCTATAGGACCTACAATACTTATCCAACTTGCAAGTCACAAGTTTAACTTACAAGATAAATTTTTTACATGTACACCATATGGCCAATTTCTACTACAAGTTACCAACGTGTACAATATATGGATAATTTTTTGGCATAGTTTTTAATCTATTAACCACCTATAAATATGTCTAAAGTCAAATCCATATCTATGAAGCCTCTCTTCAAGATATTATCATATTTATTTATTTCTACTTACTTCTATCTAAGTCTTTTAATCTATGTAAATATATATGTTTATAACATCAATATATAAGTTGGATAATTTTAATATTAAAAATTTAGAAGATAGTCAAAAAACTCTTATGTTCCATGGTTGTGGCATGAATAGCTTTAGTAGCCTTGTCTTGTTGTTTGTTATCTTTATTGCGGAAGCTATAATGGAATTGTAGTAGAATGCGAATCAAAAATTATATAATATTTTATAAAAATATAAAAATAAAATTATTTATACTTATTAATAATATTTTAATTTTTTTATTAATAATGTTCATAAAAAGAATAAAAAAATGTATATATAATATATCTTAAAAAATAAAAAATAAAAATAAAAAGATTTTAAGATGAATTTTAAAAAGATTTATAAAATCATTCTAAATATCTATTAATACATAATTATAATTGCAAGCACATCTTAATTTTTTAAAACTTTCTTAAATTAAATAGATATTTCTATTACTTATTATGAGTTCTTCAAGATCTTTATAATTAATCAAATATCAATTTATTACTTCTTTTACTTAAAAGTAATGTTTATTTAAATTTCAAACATATTTGATTTATAATTTATATATCCTTTATTCTAAAATATCCTTAAATAATTTGAACTGCTAATAAAGAATAAATTTATATTAATTTAGTGTAATATTTTTTAAAAATATTACAAAATATGAAAAAAAATATATTTAAAAATAATATCTCTAATTTTATTAATTCAAGAATAAGAATATAAAAAAGCCCTTTTAATAAAGTATTACATTTAATTTTTATTTATTTTTTATTTAATTTTCTATTATTTAAATAATAATGTCTTTAATTTTTTTATGACATCAAACTCAAAATGCATCCTCTTTAAATTAAAAGTTCTTTAAGATTTATGAAATTGATAAAGCTACTATGAATTGCCTCCATATGAAAACAACTACTTAAAATTAAAGTTTTCAAAGAAGTCAAGGTATCAAAGGCATTACTCTCAATTCTTATCTTTTTATAATTTTTTAGTTTTAAGAATTCCAAAATTAATAGATAAAAAATCTAAAATACATGTTTACCAAATTTTCACTTCTTTTAATTAATAATATCTTTAAATTTTTTTATGCTATTATAACCAACATAAATCTTCATCAAATATATAAGTTTATAAAATAAAATTTCTCAAGGTTACTAAGATTTAAAAAGCCATTGTAAATTCTCTCCAATTGCAAATAATTACATAAGCCTAAGGTTTTCAAAGATATCAATGCATTAAATGTATTAATATTATATTTTATCTTTATATATTTTAAAAAAATTCCATGAATTCTAGAGTTGATAGATTAGACAAATCCAAAGGCATGTCTTTCAAATTCTCATATCTTCCAAATGATAATACATCTTTAGCTTTATCATGTCATCAAAATTAATATGCATCTTCTTCAAATTTATACATTCATTAAAACATATTACTTTAAAATTATATATATATATATATATATATATATATATATATATATATATATTTTGAATTAGTTCCAATTGCAAACAACTACCTAGACTTAAGCTTCTCAAAGATATCAATGCACCAAAGGCATCACTCTTAATTCTCATATTATTACAATTATTTAGTGCTAAAACCTTTGAAGTTGATAAATTAGATAATTCCAACAACATGTCTTTTAAATTCTCATATTCTTTAAATAATTATATCTTCAACTTTATTATGCTATCAAAACTATCATGAATCTCTTTTAAATATATAAAATATAATTTCTTAAGATTTTAGAAATTAAAAAAGCTATTGTGATTTGCTTCCAATAGCAAACAATCATCTAGGCCTAAATTTATTAAAGATATCAATATATTAAAGGCATCACTCTTACTTCTCATCTTAAAATATTTTAAGTACAATTTTTTTTTAAAGATGAAAGATTAGTCATTTTTAAAGGTGTATTTTTTAAAATTTTATATCCTACAAATGATAGTATATCTTGAGCTTTGTCATATTATCAAAATTATTATGCATTTTCTTTAAATTCATATATCTTTGAAGATAAAGTTTTTGAAGAGATATCATATCATTAAAATCTTCTTTAATTATATGTAAATTTAAGTATTATCTTAAATTCATTTTTATTAAAGATGATTTTAAATGACTACTTTTATTTATATTTTTTATGTTTTTATAACTTCTTAAATTTAAATACTTCAATGCCTTTATATTAGAATGTACTCTTATAATATTGTTTGATTTCATGTATCCTTTTAAATAAAGATTTCTAAAATCATTTGTTTAACCTCATAAAAATCTTTGTATTTAAGTTTTAAACAAACTTTTAAACTCAATATTCTTAAATACTTTATATTCAATGCATTAATATTAAATCTTATTAGAATTTATGAACTAATCAATTATAATATAATAATTTAATTTACATAGTTTTTGAATATAAGAATTAGAATAAATTTTATATTATATTTTGACTTGATTATATTGCTTGATTCAAATAAATAAATCTTTAATCACTTCAATATATTGGATTATTTTTTTAATATAGTTAGAAGTTTTATACTTACATATGCTATAAAATTCAATAAGTAAAGATGAAACAATACAATCTTTATACCACTATATGATTTTAAATGACTTATATAACTTTTAAAATACATGATTCTTTCATTCAAATCATTTTATAAATAAATCATATTTTTTATATTAGAAATGATATAAATATTATATAATTTATATTATATTTAGAAAATATAAAATACATAAAATCTTATATATATATATATATATATATATATATATATATATATATATATACATATGCATATTACATTAAATAATATAATAGGTTTAAAATCATATCTTTGATATTTAATTAACAAATGATTTATAAATTTCTTTTATTTTAAAATTTCATTA